TTGGGTGGGATAAACTGGAACAGGAATCCAGCAATGATACTATTATTGACACCCAAATAGTCCCTAAAGATAAAATCAGTAAACCACAAATAGCCATTAAAGAGGAAGAGGAAGCACAGGAGGAAGTAGGAGAACAGGGTCAGGAAGAGGTAGAAGAACAGGAGCAGATGGCACAGGAAAGTCCACCAGTAAGCCCTGTAATACCAAGACCTTCAACCCAAGTAACACAACCACCTGATAGATATCAGGCTAGTGTTGTATGCCAAGTGAACAGACTTCCAAGCAATTATAGTGAACTAAAACTGTATCCTGCTAAGGATCAGGCTGCTTGGCAGAAAGCAATGGATAAGGAACTGGAATCATTTAAAAAGTTAGAGGTATATGAAAATGTTAAGTTACCACCAGGTAAACATGCCATAGGATGTAAATGAATATATAAACTTAAGACAGGCATGGATGGGATTGTTACCCATAAAGCCAGGTTAGTAGCACAAGGGTTTAATCAGACAGCAAATGACTACGATGAAGTGTTTGCATCTAGTCTGAAGGCTACTACATTAAGGGCAGCATTAGTGTGGGCAGCTAAGGAGAAATACATTGTAAATCATATGTAGAGAGAGCTTATCTGCATGCACCATTGCAACACACTATATATTTAAAGAAACCTTTAGGTATCAAAGATGATGATACAACTGATTGCTGGAGATTGAAAAAGAGTCTTTATGGTTTGAAGCAATCAGGATATGAGTGGAACCAATGTATAGTTAAAGAATTAACTAAGATAGGTTTTGTAGCTGCCATGGCTGATCCATGTTTGTTTAAAATGGAAACTAATGGTATAATTTCATTATTGCTTTTATTCACTGATGACATGGCATTAATCACCAAAACTGAACAAGAAGCTACTGAGATAATTTCACTATTGGAAAAGAAATTTAAGATAAAACAGGAGAAATCAAACAATATCTTGGTTTAAAGATAGATAGAACTAGGGGAGGATACAAAATCTCATAGGCAGATAAAATTAACCAATTACTAAAAAGTTATAAAATGGAACTTTGTAAGCCGGCTAAAACACCAATGAACCAGGAGTTTAGCCATAGTGATGTTCAAAGTCCTGTTTTTGATAAGAACATTTATTAGCCCTTGATTGGTAGTTTATCTTATCTCAGTAATTGGTCAAGGCCAGATATCGCATACAGTGTAAATCAATTAGCGAGATTTAACACTGAGCCAACTGAAAGACACTGGCAAGCTGCTAAACATGTGTTAAGATGTCTGAAACAAACAATGCATTATGCATTGTATTTGGAGCCTAAAGATGAACTGAATTTAACTGCATATGCTGATGCAAGTTTTGCTGCAGACATAAATACACGAAAATCTACATTGGGTACTACTGTATCATTGGGAAAAGCATTGATTGGATGGAGGTCTATTAGACAGAAACATCTAAGTTTGTCAACAATGGAGGCTGAATTCTCATGTTTGTCTTTATTATGTAGATTTGTATAAGCAATTATTAATTGATACGGGAATTAATATAAAAGATCCTATTGTTGTTTACGAAGATAACCAATCAGCAATACAGATGGCTTCAAATATTGCTGTTAAAACAAGAACAAAACACACACATTTAAGATATTTAAATGTGAGACAATGTGTGCAAAGTAAGATGATTAAGCTAGAATACTGTATGTCAGAAAACAATATAGCAGAACATTTTACAAAGGCCCAAGGCTCTATAAAGCATAAGGCTACCTGTGAAGATTATGGACTTAGAATGTAAGGTTGTATATATTGTCTAACCCAAAAGGGGAGAATGTTAGGAATATGAGTCACCTAACAGGTATTTGGGTTAGAAATATATAAACCAGGATAGACATTTTAATACTGTCTCTTTAAGAGCATGCTAAAAACTGCAATTGGGTGTGGTTACTCAAATGGCCATAAGACCGAGCCAGAAACCTGGGTTGTTTTAGTCTTAGTCTTAATCTCAGAAGAGAGTGTGTCTCAGTCTCTCTTTCCTTCTGTTGGAAAGTATTGCTGTTCCTCCATTTTTCCTAATTGACTGATATTTCTAGATTTAATGTAAGTCTGATACTGAACTTTTTTTTGACACTGGACTTTGTTACTGAATTATCCCTGGATTGAAAAACTGACTGATTTACCTGTGAATGACTTTGGACTGCCTCTTTTGAACTTTGCTTAAACTTTCTGGAGGTAAAAACCTCCATTTACTGTACAGTATATCTGTGTGTGTATTATTCAAACACTTCTCTCAAATACGTCTCCCTGTATGCGCTCATTCTCTTAACGGGGAATTACCTCAACATGTTTTAGTCTCCAGTCCCCTAATCATCCTGGTTGCTCTTCTCTGCACTCTTTCTGGAGACTCAACATCTTTTTTTATAGTGTGGTGATCAAAACTGGATGCAGTACTCTAAGTGTGGTCTTATTAAGGCTTTATAGAGGGGTATTAATCCTTCACTTGATCTCGATTGTATCCCTGTGTTAATGCAATTTAGGATTGCATTAGCTATTTTGGCTGCTGCTGCACACTGCTGGCTCATATTTATCTGGTTGTCCACTAAGACTCCAAGATCCCTCTCATAGTTACTGCTATTGAGCCTGGTTTCACCCAGTCTATATGTGTCCTTTGGGTTTTTCTTGGCTAAGTGTATTTTACTTTTCTTTACATTGAATTTCATTTTGTTAAATATGGTCCAGTGTTCTAGTCTGTCAAGATCCATCTGGATCTTAAGCCTATCTTCTTGAGTGTTAGCTATTCCTGCCAGCTTAGTATCATCTGCTAATTTGGTAAGTTCCTCGTCTATTCCCTCATCTAAGACGTTAATGAAGATATTGAAGAGTACTGGGGCTAAGGCAGAACCTTGTGGCACCCCACTGCTTACTTTCCTCCATGTAGACTTAGACCCATTAAGGACTACTTGTTGAGTACGGTTTGCCAGCCAGTTGCAAGTCCATCTAGTAGTGGTGCTATGTATTCCACTTTTTATTAGCTTACCAAGAAGTAGGTTGTGGTCTACTTTGTAGAATGCCTTGCTAAAATCTAAATATATTATGTCCACAGTATTTTGCTGGTCTACTAATTTAGTCACTGTGTTGAAGAATGAAATAAGATTGGTTTGGAATGATTTGTTTTTAACAAACCCGTACTGACTACTAGTTATTATTTTAATTGTTTCTAGATGTTGCAGATCTGCTTTTTTATTATCTTTTCCAGTATCCAGTATTAATGTTAGGCTGTTTGGTCTATAGTTTTCTGGGTCTGTTTTTTGTCACGATAGACCCAATTAAAGGCTTTTCTGTGCTTAAATAGGCTCATATTGACTTATTTATAATATTCTTTGGATTATTCAATGTTCTAGCATGCATCAGCAATAATACTTCTTGTCCCTCAGTCTCATCTAAAAGAATATCTTATTTTCCATGATGATATCTAATTGGATGATCCCAAGTGTTTTTTGCTTACATACCAAATTGTGGATATTGTACAATAGTTTGCACACTGTTAAGTCTTTATTGCTTTTGGTTTGTAAATTAAGCTCTTCCAATCTGTGGTTCATTTTATCATTTTCCAAATCTGATGGAATAATTTGGTTAGAACCATTTACTGTTCTTATATCACTTGCCATATTTCTATAGATATTCTATCAATTGCTGTAATCTTCCAACATGGTCAAACTGGAGTAATGATTTATCTTCATCTTTTAGGACTAGAAATTCTTGTAAATAGGGAATATTTTCTAGGCTCGTTTGAATGTTAACATGCCTATTCTATAGAATTTCAGTTATTTTATTTTTGTTGAATTGGTTTCTATCTGTCCATTAGCATATTTTAGCAAAGCACTATGAGATTGGTATCTCAACCTGAGTTTGGAGAACTTTTGGAAGACTTCCCTTATTTTTCCATGTTTAGCTCCAGCTTTGATGTCTTTACAGATGTAATTGTAATACTGTTTCTTGTCTCTTCCATCAGCTCTCTGAATTTTTTGTTACCATATACACTTGCAGATTAGCCAATAGTTTTAGGGTCCAAAACACATTCACTGGTTTATCCATGAGTATATACAGTAATACTTTTTAAGAGATACAGTAATGGACTGGCAGATAAACTGACCCTTAGGATTTTTTGTAGGTTAATTTTTAGAACTGGATGATCTGACACTATATTATCAATTACTTTATATTTTCTGTCCATATGGTTTTCTTGACATACAGAATACAGGAGCAACTTATCATTGTCTTCTCCTGTGCAGTATGAAATTATGATTTTGCTATTGTCAGTAAAATGATAATCCACCTCCAGCATCTTCCTATTTTGCTGCTACCCAATCTAGGTACCAGTGAGCTTTAGCTGGGCAGCAGAGATGACCTTAGATGACCCTAAGTAGGTTCTCTTGGCATTTACCCACATCCTGCCATGATGAAACAACAACCAGGTTGCAGCAGTGGTGGGCAGTATATTAAATGTATGCACTTGAAATTCAATCTAAATATAAATAATTTTAGTTTTCTTAGTTCTTCCAACTTTGGGTCATGGGCTCAGACAGTGAGTTTTTTTTAGCATTTGACATAATCCCTAAAAATCAAGAGCAGCCTTTGGCTCAAGGAAAGTTGTACATCCATGATGAGGTCACAAAAGAAAATTGAAGTTGATGTTCCTTAATTCTGAATCCCATGGATTTTTCATGACAGGTTTTTGTTTTTATTTTTCACTGCTGTTTCATAAAGTAGTGAATTTGTTGCCATATGTCTTCCCAAATATACCTACACATGCACACAAACACATATACACGAACAGCATTGAACACTTGTGGGGTCTCTGGCATTGTGAAACTAAATTGTGGCTCAGCAGTTATTGCTTGCCGCATAAAATTTTGATTTTGGATTTTGTTTAGTATCTCTTTTACTATAGAAAAACCTTCATGGGAAGGAACTTAATGGAAACTTTAATATCAAAATGAAAAAAGCTCAGAATAACATTCTCTAAAATAAACTTTACTCTGGGTTTCCAATTTGTTCATTTTATATTTTTTTGATATTCCCACATAGTTCTGGATTAGGATTAGGTTGTTTTAATGTACAAATAGAATAATTTTAATTGCTTTGCCATTATATAATTACAAAAAATGGAATGCATGATACAGTCAATATGAAAGTTGCATTCACTATCATATTTTCAGACTTTGCCGGGAAAGAAAATCCTTAGTTTAAGCAGGGATGCTCTCAACATTTTCTAGAAAAATTGCATTTGGGTTTTTAGTAGTATGGCTGAGATTTCACTTCTGCATGGGTCATGACAAAATTAAGTATTCTTTCATTTAATTTACATGTGCATTAACTATATATTAAAAATATTAAGATAATTACTCTACATTTATGAATGCAATAAACTCCTTTGGTTATGTTAAAACTTGCAGTTAGAGAACAAACTGTTATTACGACCACCTGAACTCATAAATGAAGTCATGATTTCATTGGTGTCAGGATAGGGAAGACATAAATCAACTACATTTTGTCAGGTGTAAAAGATCAGTTCCACCCTGGGAAGGTCCAATTAAACTGATTTATTGCTACTCATGCTTATGCAGAAGATTATTCTCAACTAACAGTTAGCACCTGCTTGTAGTTAGAGAAGGGTCAACAGAATTCAGGGGGGAGTTGACTTAGTTCCCTTATGGCTATGTAGGGATTCTAGGCTGTTCCTTCGTTTAACTCTGCTCCGAGCTTCTGCCACTCCTCCTACATTTTTAATGATTGCATGTTTATCTGGATATTACAGTGGATTTCATACTTCCTAATTCTGCTACTGAGCTGTGGTGGCACAGTGGTTAGAGTGTAGTACTGCAGGCTACTTCTGCTGACTACCAGCTGCCTGCAATTTGGCAGTTCAAATCTCACCAGGTTCAAGGTTGACTCAGCCTTCCATCCTTCCGAGGTCGGTAAAATAAGAACCCAGATTGTTGGGGGCAATATGCTGACTCAGTAAACCACTTAAAGAGGGCTGTAAAGCACTGTGAAGCAGTATATGTCTAAGTGCTATTGCTATTGGCCTCTAGGAACAAGATTGGACCACATTTCCCTGCCTGAGTGGGCAAAGGAGGCAGCAGAGCCCACAGCAGATAACTTGGCCTGCAGAAGCCTGATCAGTACAACCCGCCCTCCCAAGCTTCTTGTGATCCCCAAGAGTTCCCAACTCCAAATTTGAGAACTTCTGGCCTTGATGTTTAATAGTTTCATTTTTGCCTGAATATCATACAGAGGATGATCAGAACTGGTAGTCAATCAGAGGTGGTATTCAGCAGGTACTGGGCAGTTCTGGAGAACCAGTAGCGGAAATTTTGAGTAGTTCGGAGAATTGGCAAATACCACCTCTGACTGTTCCCTCCCCCATCTATTCTCTGCCTCCCGAGTCCCAACTGATCGGCTAGATCTTCTTTTGTTGCTCTGCACAGGAGAATGGAGCTGGAAAGTAGGTTAGTGGGGTGGGGAGGGATTGGCGTTTTTACGATAATCTTCCCCTGCCGTGCCCACCAAGGCATGCCCACAGATCTGGTAGTAATTTTTTTTGAATCCCACCATTGTAGTGAACGAAATACAGGTAGCCCTAGACTTACAATCACAATTGAACCCAAAATTTCTGTTGCTAAGTGAAACATTTGTTGAGTTTTGCCTCATTTTATGACTTCTTGCCACAGATGTTAACCTAAAACTGGAAGGGCTAGTCCTGAATCACTGCAGTTATTAAGACGGTAACACAGTTGTTAAGTGAATCAGGTTTCCTCATTGACTCTGCTTGTCAAAACGTTGCAAAAAGTGTTGCCATCACCCTGGGACACTGCAATTGTCATAAACATGAACCAGTTGCAAAATGTCTTAATTTTGATCAGGTGACCACGAGGGTGCTGCAACTGTCATAAGTGTGAAAAATGGTCATAAGTCACTTTTTTCAGTGTCGGTGTAATTTGGAATGGTCACTAAATGAACTATTGTAAGTCAAGGACCACCTGTGTACAGTATAGGGTTTAAACAGTGAGATGGAAGAAGATCAGTTATCACAGGATAACTGAATGGCTGATCTTATAATTGCTGTGGGATAGATAGAGTTACAAATGGATTCTCTTTTTAAAAAGCCTTTTGTAGACATTGCAAATTATTCTTGAGGTCTTCTGTAATCCAGTTAGCATAGGAAGGTTAGTTTCTTTTTTAGCGTCCCTTGTCCCTTGATATTCAGCACCTGATATTGGCAGCACCTGAATTTGTTTTCAGGTTGTTGTGTTAAGGATAAAGGTTAGAATACCTGGGCAAAGAAATAACATTTGCACATATTTTGCAGAAATACAATCATTTGCTAAAGAAAGAAGGTAGGGAAATTATTCACTTGGAACCTAACCTTGAGCGAGAACCAAAATACTTATTTATTTTTTGTTGCAAAAATATGTTTTAGAAAATTACAAATAAATTGGGAACTAGAATGAATTAATTTATTATCCCAATAATCTTCAAATATAGCTTTTCTTCTAAGCTTAGAAATAACCTGGGAGAAATCCCACTGGACTGAATGCAACTTATTCTAAATAAACATATGTAGGAATATATTATATACTAGTATGACGTGGCTTTGGCTTTATTATCCATAACTGTTTTGATTTTATGTATGCAAAGAGTGGGAAAGCGACCAAAATACATTAATATTATCCTGAAGCAAAATCTTTCAAGGATGTTAACCTTGTTTAGGATTTAAGATTTACAGAGGATTACAAAGAACCGTTGACTGAGGAAACAGGAACCATGACTTCCCTTGGCGGCTATGGACTGGCAAGCAGCTGTTGTGTTCCAAAGGGCTCTTTGGAGAGAGACTTCTATAAAGCAGGCCCAAGGCTCTGGAACAGTAGCTAACCCTGATAGGCAGCAGCCCATGCAAAGCTTGCTAATTTCCATGGCAGTGTCTCCTTGTCTAAGTTCATTAGATATTCAATTTCACATGATGAATCAGGCCAAAATGATTTTCCTACCAAGAGGAGATTCACAAATTTCCCTGAAGCGGAAATAGGACAGATAAAAAAACAGTGCAATTTTCTATAATCTCCTTGGAACAAGAGAAGAGGTACATATTATGTGAAAAATTGAGAAATTGGCCCTTTCTAGTTTCTGATGCTCTTTGCTGAAATTTTGTAGTCTTGTAAGTGCCTCTCCTATAAACTTCTGCCAACCTAGCAGTTCGAAAGCTGTAAAAATGCAAGTAGTAAAATAGGGACTACTTTGATGAGAAGGTAACAGCGTTCTATGCGCCTTCAGCATTTAGTCATGCCGGCCACATGACAATGGAGACCTCTTTGGACAGCTCTGACTCTTCGGCTTTGTAACTGAGATGAGCACCACCCTCTAGAGCCGGAAACGACTAGCATGTATGTGCGAGGGGAACCTTTACCTTTACCTAAATGCCTCTCAGAGGGACACCATTCTCAGATTTTGGTTTTATGAAGTGTGTACCAAGGGGCGATATTTTGTGATAATTTAAACTCATTTCTTTGGCCAAAGACATTCAGTATCCTATTTTTAAATAATAGGTCATTGTTTGCATTATTTGAATTTAAAAAAGAATTTTGAAAAAAAACCCTAAAAGGTATGCAAAGATTGGATACAAAATGTAAGCCAACTGGTGCAAAAAGGAATGGAGAAATTCATTTGCTTTAGGAGACACCACCTGATAAGTCAGGGATCAAATGCTGAGAGGAATCTAGAACCCAATAATTAAATGCCCTTTTAATTAGTTTAGCTTTAATTAGGTACATATTAGTTACTGTGTAGAGAAAAGGAGTAGGAGTACTATTAGATACACCTAAAATACAGTAGTCCTTGGCTTAATGTCCACAATTGCTGGTAATTCGAATCTTTAATATTATTATTTTGAAACAAAATGAAGGTTTCCTATTTAGCTTGCAGAGCTTGGATTCATTGAATGAGTTTACCGAAAATGTAAATATTGCAGAATATACAGCCTCATGCTACATAACTAAACTCCATTTCATGCTGAATATACTAAAGTATTAATGTATCTTAAATAGAAAACTATCTTTAGATAGATTTTTTTTACTCCAAAAGCATTTTATTAAAATAAATTTGATAAAAATTAAAAAAAATCTGATTTAAATTAAAAAATCCAATTTAAATTAAAAAAAATCATTGATTTTTATCCACTCTGATAAAATATAACATGTCTATATAAAATATAAGTCTTTTATTACCGGTTGCATTGTTTTGTTCTTCTTTTGCAAGCTACCCAAGCCTTACAATTGAAGCAGCATAGATATCTTGTAAAGTTTAAAAAAGAAAAACACTGCCCCTCCGACAGTTACTTTCAGAGACAAATGGATTTCGAGCTAAGGAACGGAAAGCTGCAGAATTATTCCACCATAGAAAAGCTTTGTGGAGAAAAGCTTTCTTGTCTCTCACAGACTGCCAGGACTCTTCGGGGTCATTCAGTGGAACATATGCAGAGTAGATAAAAGCCAGTATTTCTTAAAGGTAGCTTTATAAGACTTCTAGACAAATTGACTGGAGGATGTTAAGCCCTTTTTTTCCTGATCAAATGTACATCTGTTCAGAAGTAAATGGTAGGGTGGGGTGGTAGGCAGGGTTGAAGCAAACCAGTACATGAGGAGATGCCAAAGGAGGGCAAACTCCAGGCACCTTCTCTCTTGCTCTCTCTGTTTCTGATCCTGTTTTTCTCTCTCAAATATGGGGGTGTAGCAAAGGGATGGAGTTCTCTTATTAGAAACTTGAGAGGATCTCTGGCGTTTGAAATTAACCCACCTGAGAGATACGGTTAGTTATATGCCGCCCTGAGGGATAATTATATTCAACTCCTGTCTGGTACTATAAAATGCGTTATGCCATTCCAGGAAAAATTTAAATATCTGATTTATTTTTGAAGTTCCATTTTTCTTGAGAGACCAGTCTACTTGAGAGAATGTCTCTTTCTATTCGGCCCTCCTCCTAACTGAGATCAGCCTGAGGGTTTGCCTGTACTTGCCACAAGCTAATATTGCAAGGTTTTTTTTTTGAGAAGAGCCTTCTCTGGTAGCCACCCCAGTTCTTTGGAACACATTCGCCGGTGAATTAAGAGATTGAACCCCCTCTGACTAATTTCTAACAAGTCCTACATGCACATTCTTTAAGCAGGCATTAAATTATTAATTTTAATCACTGGTTATACGAAGGACTTGGAGTTTTATGTTTTATTATAAACCAATATGTTTTGTTTAATGAATCAAATGATTCAGAATTCAAGGATTTGTTGAACAACTCCTATCACATCAAGTTTATATCTAAACAAGTTCTTTACTGTTATGGTTATTGTTGAAACCTTTCTTTTCTATATTTCCCCTCCACCTTCTTCCTTAGTACCAGAGTCACAATTCTGTTTCTCTCTTTATCAAAGGGGCTTTATTATTGTTGCCATATTTTGAAATATTTCAGTTGGACTTCTATAGTGTTTCCAGCACGTATCTCCCAACCTTCTCATTTTTCAGTAGAACATATTCAGCTTGCCAAGCTGCAGAAAGCCTTTTTCATTAGGAGTTCTTGAAAAGATGCCAGAGGTATATTTAGATGTGGTCATAAAGCTAACTGCCATCCTAGGAGTTCCCACCAAATCTGATGGGGCTCCATTCAGTTGGGTTACTTTAAGAGTGTGTCCTTAAGCTACAGCTATACTTTGCTCCTTGGGGTGTTGCATTTTTTGTCAGTCTAACACATGCCTTAGCATGTTTTTGATGATTCATTAGCCAAAGGCCTTAATATTACTAACATCAGTCATGAGTCTGCCTTTTCACAGATACATATACTACCTTGAAACTTCCATCAAATATTTTGGTCAGTGTATACATACATACATACATATAATATCACAGCAATAGACCTTGCTGTGTAACATGAAACAGGTTAACTAAGGAGTGAAGATCTCTTGTTGCCAGAGACAAGGCTGAAGTTCTGATTGGTGGACCAATAAGTGATAAATCCAAATTAGTGGTTGCCAAGAAACTTGACTAATATTACATATTGTACTACTTATATATTATTTATGTTCATGCACGTCACGGATGTTTACTATTTTTAGGAAGATTTCAACATGATTTGCACAATTATCTAATCATGGACAATTGTTTTGGGGGCTCCAGGTCAAATGATGAATGAGTTTTAAGTTATGGGCATAGGAACAATCTTTTTGACATTAAAAAAAAGACCAGAACAAGCATAGAAACATTAAACCCCACTAGAGTTCATATTGTTTGCATCCTATTTTCTTATTGTTTTAAAGTTGCCTCCAGAAGTTATAAATGCTCCAACACCGGAAGTTTTTAAGAAGAGATTGGATAACCATTTGCCTGAAGTGGTGTAGGGTTTCTAGCCTAAGCATGGGGTTGGACTAGAAGACCTCCAAGGTCCCTTCCAATTCGGCTATTCTATTCAAAGTCAAACACTAGCCAAGTGCTCATTGTATTGTTTTTAGATACTTTGATTTTCCTTTTAAAAGTATGCATTCCTCAACAAATTAAAGTGCATTCCCAGTTAGTTCTCAACTTCTGAATATGGCCATAGAAGGGGAGGAGTATAAGATTACTCTTCGCTTTGTGACGCTTTGAAGCGCTGGCTCTTTGGCTTTGTAACAGAGATGAGCACTGCCTCCTAGAGCCGGAAATGACTAGCATGTATGTGCAAGGGGAACCTTTACCTTTCTATAAGATGACCAAATCATGTTTATGGTAATCTAACTCTACCACGGCATGAAAGTAAATAGATAGAAATACTGAAATGCTCAGTCTAGGTATGGTAGCTAGGCAATTGCCTCACAGATTGCTGTAATACAGGCACTTTATAAAATACTAGGAGCTCTGGTGGCGCAATGGTTAGAATGCAGCATTGCAGTCTAATTCTGCCCACAGCCTGCAGTTTGATCCTGATGGGGGCACAAAGTTGACTCAGCCTTTCATCCTTCCGAGATTGGTTAAAATGAAGACCGGGGGGGGGGGGGCAATATAAATGAATGAATGAATGAATGAATTTTTTATTGGCCAAGTGTCACTCACAAGGAATTTGTATGGGTGCATATGCTCTCAGTGTACATAAAAAGACAAGATACTTTCGTCTGACATATGCTGACATTGTAAACAATCATTATGGGGCAGTGTATAAGTCGTTCGTGTGTGTGTGTGTGTGTATGCTGGGGGGGGAGGTGAATACCTTGTGAAAATGACCATTTTGCAACTGGTCCTGTTCACCATGGCAGTCGTTTTAGGAATAGGTAAGTATCTCACAGTAATAATTTTTTGTTTATATCTATTACCAATGCTCTCACAATGTCAGACGTTGTCATGTTCCTCAGATATTGTCTAATCCTGATTAAATAATAATAATCTTGCACTTTTGAAGAAAAAAACAAGAACCAGTGCTTTTAGTGAAAAGCAAATGATTTACTGTTTGATGTCCAGGTTCGATATTGTAACTCCCTGGATGAAGAAGAAAAGAGGGAACTCAAACTTTTCAGCAACCAGAGGAAGAGGGAGAATTTGGGCAGAGGCAATGTCCGGCCATTCCCTGTCACCATGACAGGAGCCATTTGTGAACAGGTAGACCATTCTCAATATTATTCCTCCTCCTCCTCCCCCTCCTCCTCCTCCTCCTCCTCCTCCTCCTCCTCCTCCTCAGCATCTTATCACCATGATATGAAAGCAGTTATGCACAGGGGTGGGATTCAAATTTTTTAACAACTGGTTCTGTGGAAGTGGCTTAGTTGGTGGGCATGGCTAAGCGGTCATGTTACTGGCTGGGTGCGGCCAACTCAACATCACTCACATTGGGGCACACATCTCCTTGCCTGGCCTCTCGTGACTGTGGGGATGTTGCAACAGTCATAACGATCATGTCACTTTTTTCAGTGCCATTGTAACTTTGAATGGTCACTCTACACAAGCAAAGTACCAGCAAAGGAGGGGGAAAATACTCCAGGGAAATTCCTGAGACAGGAAGTCTAGTCCTGCCAAGAATGGAATAAGGGTTAACGGAGAGGCAGTTTCTGTAAGCAACACCAGAATGTTTCCTTCCTACCTTCATTACAGGATTAGGCCAGTAATTTCTTCTAACAACTGGTTCTCCGAACTGCTTAGAATGTTACTAACCGGTTCTAGCAAATAGGTGCGAATTGGTAAATCCCACCTCTGGTTATGCACGATGAGATATCAAAAGCCATATCAATACATTATGGCAGCAAAAGACCTATTCTTCATTTTGACCTTGCAAAAAAATCTTACTCATTAAAAATATCCCCAGGGGTAGGAAAATTAGGAGGTGTAGATTTAGGGTGTGTGGCAGAGTGTTAGCTTAAGGCTGCTAATAGCCAGCTGCAAAAACAGTTTCTCTTGCATAATCCCCAGGGAAAAGGCTGCTTAGGGGGTGCATTGCTCGGCCAGAAAACCAGTTAGAAGACAAAGGAGAAAAGGAATGTGTACATCACTTTGAGAAAGACTATTACACGTAGCATTCTGCATCAATATACGCAGAGGAGGGCTTTAGGTATCCTATGGAGACCAAGCAGATTTTGTACAAAAACCCTGGAATAAAATTGGGAATGCAGAATACTGTTTTCCACATTTTTGCATTACAAATTGCAACACTGAGCGTTGACAGTTTGCATTTCAGATCTGATTAATCTATTTATATTTAGTGGCGTCGTGGTAAAAAACCATGTAATAAGATCATTCCAAATCTTACTTTCAATACACAAGTTTCCAATTCCCAATCTGTGGGAAAAAATTAATCAAATATGTGCAATGATCCCTAGAGTGGATACCACAGTTTAAATTGCTAAGTATTTCAAGCTATCATCTCAGTAAATGTGCAGTGAGAAAGATATCAGAGGTTTTTTTCTGGAGGCCATTCATACCACCCGTCAGAGTTGAATAAATTGCAGCGCTTCATGCCTTCCAGTACCTTCTGTTCCCAAGATGTAAATATTTAATGTTAAAAGTTCAACCCACAATCTGAGATTGAAAATACTGTAGTTTTATTTATTCGCCACATGTAGAAACCTCTAACCTAAATGAGTTAATGGCTGGATTCACACAATACTGATAACCAGGTCAGTAGTTTGTTTTAACCTTAGATTATTTTTATTATTTTATTTTAAGGTTAGCACATTATGTAAACCCAGTCCACTTGGTTAACTCAGTTTATCCAGAAAGCAACCAGTTAATCATACTGTGTGAATTCTACCAAAATGTAGCATAATTCTTCTGCCTCTCCTCCTCTTTTTATTTGGGGAGGGGACATATGCTAGACCCAAAGGTGCTATTTCCAAAAAGCAACTAGACTTTCTTGGGTTTTTTTTTTCCTTTGAAAACATTTCACTTCTCATCTAAGAAGCTTCATCAGTTCTTGGATGAGAAGCAAAATGTTTAAAAGGAAAGAAAACACTGAGAAAGTCCGTTTGTCTTTTGGAAATAAGATCTTTGGGACAATCATGACCTGGATGATTGAGAATCTCCATAGAAATATAGTAGAGAACTCTCGATTTTCTTGAGTTTTGTATTATACTCAAAGGAACACTGCCCCAACTTCCTCTCTAAGGGAAGAATAATCGAATGGATTCAGGATCTACCATTCCCGTTCTTATTTGCTTGTTTCGAACTGTACCCATATAGGAACAGGTTGAGGAGAGAATAAATATTAATAATCTCATAGTAGATAGGAGCTGTAAAGACCTTTTCCAATCTGTCACAACTGCTTTTGTATCATCACAATCCCTATAATACTGTAGTTTCTCCATATAGTTGGAGAAAGGCTTGACTTGCGAATAACTAGAAAAGAAATTTGCTGATTTTTATCAGTGCATCACTTCAGCTTTTTCCAGATGCTGTCATTATTCAACGTTTCTCGCCTGCAAGAATTGCCCAGGGAAGGGCTTCTCTTTAATTTTTATATTTATCTTGACAGTGTGGAGGCCAAATCAATGGAGGCGACATAGCCGTCTTTGCATCCAGAGCAGGCCATGGGGTGTGCTGGCATCCATCATGCTTTATATGCAGTGTTTGCAATGAGCTGCTGGTGGATCTTATCTATTTCTATCAAGACGGGAAGATTTATTGTGGCCGGCACCATGCAGAATGCCTCAAACCTCGATGCGCAGCCTGTGACGAGGTAAGACCTGTCAGGCCTTTTCGGTACTGGGAAAGGGGGCTTGAATAAGTGGGTAAATCATGTCAGGGATCATGTGTTAGATAGTAAATCAGTCTAGGCTTCCAGATTTGCCTTGCCAAATCTTATCTTTGCATCTTGTGGTTTGCAAATGATGAAATGTCTGAGAGCTGCTGCTCTACATATCAGCCCTGGTAGAGGCTTTTGGTTCTGACAGCCCCATCCAAGTTTTTGTTGCCGAACAGCCCTCCACCTCCATCCTGCTGGTGCCTGGCCCTGTTCTGTCATATAAGCTAAGACTCTCACTGCTAACCACTCTTCCCTGGAAAATCCGCTGCTCAAAAAGAATAAAAAACATTATTGAACACGATGCTTTTTGTTTTTTCCTTCTCCAGCTGCCTGTCTGCAGCTGGGAGGTGAAAGAGGAGGGAGAATTGTAGTACAGATGGACGAACTTTCTAAAATCAATTTAGGAGAAAGAGTTAAATTATATTCCTATTTTATGACTGGAGAGTTGTTACAATAACTTCACATCCTTGTTATTCTCAAATGATGTGATTGAAAGTTCAAACCTGTTGATATAACAGGATCTCACAAAAGATTCCCCTTGCAATCAACCTCAACGTGAAATACAACAGCAACAGCACTTAGACTTATATACCTGCCCATAGTGTTTTATAGCACTCTTTGGGAGATTTACATAGTAGGATTGGGCTGGGTCAACCTGCCCCTGTCAGGATCGAACTGTGGGGTCAAAACTTGCAAAAAAAAAACCCTACCCTGATATATGCCTGCAATGTAGCATAGCATTTAAGGAAATTATGCATTGTTGTTGTAGTCCCATAGCCTGGGAAGACACAGCTTCTGCTACACATACACAGCCATCAACTGAAAGAACAAAATGGCTTCTTGGGTACGATGTAAAATAAACCACTGAGAACACATAAATTCGTTTGTTTATCAGATTTCTCACACAAAGTATCTCACACGATTTAACTCTGTGCAGCATACAATAATTGAAACAATAAATATATAAAACACTTATTAAAAGCATCTCTGGAGAAGAGATGTTGGGTAGTATGTCTACATTTAGAATTTTCCCCATAAAATAAGCGTCTGTGCTCTTTATTGAATTCCTGAATTGATGTAGAAGCTGATAGAATTTTGTGTCTGATGCCTGCAGGAAGTTCTTTTAATGTACTGATACCAAGAATGTTGCTTCCTCCTATGTCTTGTTAGATAGGAAGCAGAGCAATTGTTATAGTGTGAGACAGGCTATTTGTGCATGCTGATCTTTGCAGGGTGCTTCAGTTTTACCGACATTGTTAAGAGTTTTACAATTAAGGCTTTGGATGAATATTTGTGTTTATCGCCTGCCTGCCTTTTCTTTCTGTGAATCTCTACACTGAACATCTTGGCAAATGTTCTTCTTTTAAATATCTTTCCCCAAATCAATCAACTAACTAGCATATGGAATGTGTGGGTGGCTATTGTTCACTTTCTCTTAGTTTTCTCTTTATTTCCCATGTTCTCCCTAGGAAGCATATCACCATAGTCTTGTGTCATACATTATACTTTTATCTGCTTTCATGGGAGCAACGTAAGGCTAGGTGTGGCCTAGATCTACCTGTCATCTTATGCTCTGTAATTCACCTAGGATTTATGATCCACAGTCTTCCCCTTCTGTTTCATCCATTGTATTCTCAAGTGTTGTATTTATACTTGTTCCCATCTCATGGCTTTTAGGAATCTATTTCCGATGGTTGAATGCAGCATTTGTCTCCTGAGGTAGAAGTTCTGTGTTTTTAGATTATCCTGAATCAGAACATAAAATTATCTAGGCAGCCTCCTGTTTCTTTCTTTTTTATATATAATAATTGTACTAAAGGTTACAATGGCAACAATAAAAATTAATACAAACTAAAAAAAGAAAAAAAAGGTTCAGAAAAATAGAAAAGAAAGAAAAAATAAGAATGTGGTAAAGAAATATATAAAGTAATGACTTCCCTTCACCACAAGTATAAATAATTTTAGTAGCTTATAATCTCTACTAAAGTAACAGATAATTTCTCCTTCCTCTATCCTGTCTCTTATCTATTATAAATCCATATAGCCTCATCATTTCAGTTCTGATATCAGTAAAAGTTTATTAAGTATTACCATAGATAACAGCATACATATATTAATTTTGAACATATAGATCAATGTTATATTCCTTCTTTTTATTTTTTATAATATTGGTCTTTACTCTTTGGAATGCCATAGTACTCGATTTATTTTCTTTTTTTTCTTTCTTTGCCTTGTTTGACAAAATTCTTTGAAACTTTAACAAAGCTCTTTTGTAAATCCAGGATAGAAAAATTATCCAGGTCACTCTCTTGTTAGTTGTATATTACTTTTTATTATTAAACATCAGTGGGTTTCTTTAGTATGTCCGGTGCATTATCCATGTCATTCTTAACAGAAATCCACTGTGAAATCAGTCTTAACTATCAGTCTTAACTGTGTGTGGAATCAACCTTCCATAACATGATTTCAGCAACAGAGTGGTCAATATCTGGAACTCACTACCTGATTCTGTTATCACCTGCTCAAACCCCCACTCCTTTACCCTCACACTAACCTCTATTGACCTCACCCCATTCCTAAGAGGTCTGTAAGGGGCGTGCATAAGGGCACAATCATGCCTACTGTCCCTGTCCCATTGTCCTCAATTATTAGTTCCTACTTCTTGTATTTAAACTTATTCTTGTTTCTGTTATATTGTAAGCTTTTGATCACAGTCTATCTGTAGAAATACAGTCTGAAAATTCTGGATCCAATGTTCAAAAATATCCATCAGTATCTCCAGTGTTAATATATTTTGCTTCATTCTGAATTTGTAAGTCAAGTTTGAGTGTTTGTTCTTCTTTAATTGTAATCATTAATTCCTTTGAGTTCCCTCTAGTGACAAGTTTTAAAGCCATATTTATATTAAAAAATCAAAACAAAAGCATTTTCCCAAAAGAAGGATTCCTTGTAATTAATTACAGAATCTTATTTCAAATTTATAAATTTATAAATTTTTCAGGCCAAAGTTTTAATCATCCTTTTGCTGTTTATTCCACCCCACCTCCCAATAATTTAAGTCCTTAAACCTATATTTAAAACTTCCTGCTGATGATTAACTGATTTACCTGAAAATCAGTTAACAAGCAATTTCCAAAAATGATTAGAAAAGTAAGTATGCAAACTTAATGTACTTTCAAAGGGGCCAACAGCAGTTTGAGCAGGATGGCTATTCCCAGGGGTACCGGTTCTGCCCAGCTCTTCAGAACCTGAAGAGTAGCAGACACAGAACTGGTTCTGCAAAATGTAATTATCGAACCAGTAATAACACTGGTTGAATCCCACCCCTGGCTATTCCCTCATTTTCTCTGGCTGTAAATAGCCAGAGACCACAATCATGCAGTCTCCTCTCAAGGAACAGCTGTCTGGAGCACTTGTGTGTGACCTCAAGTCCTCTCCTTATCTAGAGAGGAATTATCAACAAGACTAGAGCCGGTGTAGTCGCCAGCTCTTCATTCCCTTCATGATTATCAACTCCTTTTTTTAGCAGGGCCATCTTCAGTTCACCATTTCTTTCCCCAGGAGTTGCAGCCTTCTGTTTCTTTTGTTGATCAAACAGACATCTCTAAACACCTAAATACTCAGCAATCAAGGTATACATGTGATGACAAGTAGTAACTATTGGGGGTAACTTTGTTGAGAAAAATGCACGTAATACAAATGCTCTTTATCATATGGAGTTGTGCGCTGACATTAAACAAGGGCCAACTTTAGAATTAAAACTATGCAAAAGGTTCAATCGAAGAAAGCTCTCTGGTTTTGACATTTGATCTTGAATTTCTCATTTCAAAACGCAGTGCCCTATTAATGACACAGCAGTGGTCCTCATTAGCCTGCAGTTGCCAATGCTTGATTCCCTCTTCTCTCCCCACCTCTTCACGCACCACCACCGCCCCGACCCCGGCCTGCCTTGGAGATGTATATAAGCCCTAACCACAGTCAGGGCTTGTATCCTGGGAAGTCCATCTTGGTCTTCTCTTATTACAGGGGCAGGTTTTCCTCTTTCAGCGCTCCATTTGCTAAGCAAGGAATGTGCCATTTCAAGTTACATGTTATCCTGGAACCATATATAGCCATTTCCACAGCAACTACATGATCTGTTTATGCTGCAGAGGTAGAAAATTTTTTTTGCTGTATCAAGAAGCCGAGGCAGCAGAGTCTTGAGGCAGCCCTAGTATGAAAAAACAAACAAACAACCAAGCCAGATTGATGATAGGAGAGCAAGGTCTGCAGAAGCAAAATAATAAATTGGATACAGTTTTCAGAGGAATTATTGAGTCTGTTATTTGTACTTCTCTTAACTATCCGGTTTGGTGCAGCAACCAAACAGGACAGATGCAGACTCCAACAGATAGTTAGAATGGCAGAAAAAACAATTGCAAACAGCCTGCCATCCATAGAAAACCTGTATATTGTGCAGGTCAGAAGGAAGGGCTGAGAAAATATCTGCGGATACTTCACATCCTGGACGTAGACCATTTCAACTCTTCCCTTTGGGACAGCACTATAGTACATTGCATACCCAAACAGCTGGACATGGGGACAGTTTTTTCCCTCATGCCATCACTCTGCTGAACGCTTAATTCTCACAGTGTAACTATACCTTAGTATACTTAACCATGTACTGTGGCTGTGGTATTATCATTTATTCTTATTATCATTTTTACTCCCCCTTTTTATTGGTATTAGTATTATGATGATTAATCATTACACAGTCAGCCAGATGTTCAGACTGGGTTTAGCACTTTTGTCTACCTATTGAGTCCTTACCAAGGACTTGGGATAGGCAGATCTGGATGTTTGACAGTGTTAACAGATATTATTGTGGAAGCTGTTCCAAGTAAAGCTGCCTTCTGCAATTTACATTATTATTGTTATTATGTTACTTTGCATGTACACTGAGAGAGCTTCTGTACCGGAGACAAATTCTTTGCATGTCTATGCACACTTAGGCTATTCGATTCAGTTCGGTTCAGTTCAATACACATAAACAAATCCTGAGTCCTCTTTTTGTCTTTTACAGATTATCTTTGCTGACGAATGCACAGAAGCTGAAGGAAGGCATTGGCACATGAAGCACTTTTGCTGTTTTGAATGTGAAACTGTGCTGGGGGGCCAGCGCTACATCATGAAGGAAGGGCGTCCGTATTGCTGCAACTGCTTCGAGTCCTTATATGCAGAGTATTGTGACACCTGCGCTCAACACATCGGTAAGGGAACCGTTTAGAAATGCCACCTTTTGCTGCCAGTTGGCTGGTTTGAAGTGGGAAAGTCTCAGGCCCTTGATGTGAAGCAAAAATTTTGTGTGCAGAACCCAAAACATGATAGGGCCTGTCAATATACCGTTGCATTATATTGTTTAAGGTGATGTGCGCCTGTAGGCTAGCGGTTGAAACTGTTGTGTTTTAGAAGTACATGACAGGCCTTGGCATTTGCTTCTGTCAAGCCTGCAGTAACTCCTTGGCAGATGTAGGCAGGCACCTAGCTGGGTCCGCAGTCTAGATGCTGGGACCATTGCTTTTGGCAGAGATCAGCTGAAGCCAAGGCCAACCACTGGTGGGTCTCCTTTTTGCATCAATTCAAAGAAGCCATAGATGTTTCCAAATCACTCAGAGAAAAAGAACGAAGAAGGAAGAAGAAGAGGTGGTCAGCAAATGAGAAAGAAATAAGCATGTTTAAAAAGAAGATGGCCTCTTCAGCCCATAATAACAATTCCACTATTACTTTGCTCAGAAAATATTTGCTATTCAAAAGCCAGCTGTGAAGTAAAGGTTACTTTTGAAAAATGTGAGAGAGGGAGGAAGGAAAGAAGGAAGGAAGGCTTTTTTGAAGTATATAATACATGCATGACAAAAACTAAAAGCCAAATCCCAATTAAAACCAAATTCCCTGAAACTAAGGTGTGAAATACATGGACACAGGTCCTTCTGAGTCCTTTTTTTTCTTTTCCTGTGACTCTTAGAGGCTCACAACCAAATTCAGTGACACACTGTTCATTATGAGAATATCCCAGTATGGGGTAGAAAGGAAACAAGGACGCATGTTAAACCCTGCCTCCTGAAAGTAATAACAAATGGATTATTCCAATACCATTTCTTCCTGTGAAGTGATTTATCACTGTCCCACTCATTTCACCATTTGTCAAGAAGAAATGCCCGCCTTTGCTCTTCAGTTTATAACATAGCTTGAGAAAGCTATTCATTTCTTTAGAAAAAAAAAAGGTTCAGTGTTCTGGGTCTGGTTCATTAGAATTCCATTGAAGAACTAGAAGGCTTGTGACTGAATATTTTAGTGTTCTGAATTAATAGCCATTTTCTAAGATAGAATTTCACTTACAGGCATGAGTAGCTTATACTGTATTTAATTCATGGGTCCATCTAGCTCAGTATCACTGACACAGACTAACAGCTGCTTTCCCAGTTATCAAGTAGGAATATTTCTAAGCTTGTTTGGAGACTTAAAGGATAAAGATAATTACATTCAAGTTGCCCATCCTGGGCTAATGGGAAGGTAGACAGAGATTATGATGTACCATCCTTCTAGCAACTGGAAGAAATGCATAGGCACTCATGGCCCAAAATTGAAATCCAGCTGTCTGCATAATTAACATTTTCCCTCTATCAGTTGACAAACAATGGTAGAAGATATTTCTGCTTTCCCAGATCCTTGACATAGCTTTATAAATGCACATTGTTCCTATGTTTTATTCCTTCTGTCTATTGCACATAATTATTACCCTTTTTAAAAGTCTCTTGACAAATAGCAATGCTTTATTTTTCAGTTCCTTGATTACTGATTAGCAATGGGCGGTGGATTTTTAAGAATTATTATATGCTGTTATATTCATTCCAAAAGAGATTTCCAGTGATACTAGCTGTGTGGGAACACCTATGTAAAAAGGGGGAGAAAAAAGGGAGGGTATTAATGAGTGGCTCTGTTTAGATGGTATAGATCAGTGTTTTTTGACTTTGGCAACTTTAAGAGATGTGGACTTCAACTCCCAGAATTCCCTAGCCAGCTGCTGGCTGGGGAATTCTGGGAGTTGAAAGTTCACATCTCTTAAAGTTGCCAAGGTTGAGAAAATTGGCATAGATTATTTGCAGTGAAGAACAATGGAAGAATGGGGTTGTGCTAGCACAATCTTGGTCTGCCTTCCGTTGAAAGAGCATAAAATGTTACAGCATTTCAAAATGGCTGAAAAGCACTAGAAAACCTACATCTAAATATATTATCTTACACCTGGGAGTACGAGTCAATTAAATTCAGTGGGACAGTAAGCATGTCTAGCTAGCAAGATAATTTAGGAACAAATAATGGTGAGAAGGGGAGGGGAATCATCCATGTGCTAAATCTTTCAGCTGTTGGAATTGAGACAAGCTGTAATTATGTTATTAAAATAAAACATAAATATCACAATTTCACCTGTTGGGAACAATAGTGCCTCTAAACTGTTTCAAAAATAACCCTTTTTCCTCTAGAAATATGAACACACTTTATCATGAGGATGTAAGGATTTTGCTTTATTTGCCAGAATGACTAAAGCTGTAGTCTAGCAACACACTGCAAGCTCCACCCCTTTCATGCTTGTACGCAGTGCTGCAGTGCAGGTAGAAAAGAGGCGGGGCCTGCATCGCAATGCTGTACCTCTGCTTTTTTCTTTCTGCCCCGCTCTTGAGTCCCCTGTGGGTACCACTGTACACTCTGCTTTATAAAGAAAATGCACAAGCATTTCAATGAGAAACTTCACCACCACAGTCACCGGGTTCCTGTTGAAGATAAGAGAAATTAAATTTTACATGGATATCAAAGAAATTGAACGGGCAAACCGACTTAATTTTCTTTTGAAGTTGCTCCATGCCACTTTTTGAATAATGTTATGTGTACTGGCATGGTGGTCTAGCAAAAACTTATCAGCCTTAATACATTGTGAATTTAATCTGAATTAAAATCAGCCCTCGGTTAATTCAGACTTACTATGACCCAGTACTTTGTGTGGATAGTGTGTTTTTATGTGTGTCACTCCTGGTGACTTTCAGGATAAGTCCCTGCAGTTTTCTTGACAAGATTTTCAGAAGTGGCTTCCATTGCCTGCTTCCTAGGGCTGAGAGAGAGTGACTGGGTATCCTGTTCTCTTTTGCCAACTTGGCTGATCATGATGACTAAAGGTCACTACAATTATAGTCCAAGACAGCAGAGCATAGATTGTATGTACATTTTTCAGTGACTATTGAGAATTTAACCAACTAGAACTAATTGTGAAATAGTGGATAATAGTATAACCCACCTGTGGAATTAAAGGGTAGACATTTCTTAAGAATAATAGAACAGGTTATTTTTAAGCAGATGATCAGTATAGTATTTGTTCTAGGTGTAAAAACTGAGCTTTCAGCCCCTTCAAATACTTTATTTCTTAATTAATCCACAAAACAACTTTTTTTTTTTTTCAAAAGAAGGAACACCTTATTTGCAGCAAAATATAATCTTTTTCAAATTTTGTGTTAGTGTGTATACATGTCTGTTATGGATGAAGGCCGGTGTGGTGTAGTGGTGCTGGTTTGGAAGTGAGGAGCCCCAGTGTTGTAGCCCACTGGCAGCTAGCAGAGCTGGCAGCAGAGTCAGACATTGAGGAGATTGGGGAGGAAACTGGGCCGGTCCTGGAGGCTAAGGAAGGCTCGGATGAGGGCTCTGTGTCAGAGGCAGAGATGGGGCCTGGGCAGACTGGCAGTTATCAGCTGCCTTCAGACTCAGACAGCAGTGAGGCGGAGGAGCAGCTGGAGCCAGTTCCCAGCCTGCACATGTGCAGAGCTGCCAAAAGAAAAGAACAACTACAAACTAAGGGTTGAGGTTGGAGTAAGGCCACAGTGAATGGTGAATGGCCCCTTCCATAGGGATTAAAAGAGGAGGGGGCTTTTGCAGGAAACAATTTGTTTGTTGCAGCAGTGTGAAAAACTATCTGTGCATCTCAGAGACTTTGTGCCAAGCCCTTCCTTGCCAGCACTGCGTTTGAAAATACTTATTATAGCTCTCCAAGCTATATAAGGTCTGTGCTCCTAATTAGACCCTTGAAAGACTGTTTGCTAGGCCTTTGGCTGAATGTGAATGCAAGGAATTCACCTTCGTTTAATAAAATGAATTCACCTTGGTTTTGCCAGGACAAAAAGTCTACTTAATGCTTTTTGGGGAAGCCTAGGTCAGAACATCCAGATCCTTGTCCTCCCTTAGGGATAGAAGCCAACTTGGGGACAATTTGTTTTCTCTTAGTCTTAGAAAAACATTTAATTACCAACTTTGATTGAATTTAGCATGGTAGATTATAATCCATAACTTTCGATAAAGAGATTGCCACCTTGCAGTGGATTGTCTCGGATGGATGGATGGATGGATATTCATTCCAGGATTTTTTATCATCTTTCTTCAGTTCCTTTCTTGGCAATTTAAAGGGGACTAAATATCCCGTTCACACTGACTTATCCTATTGGTGATGTAAATTCTCAGAAAGGGGAAAGACTATAAGAGAGAATATAATATAATATATCTCTCCTTTGCCTTTCTATGTTTCCCCTTTCAGATTAAAAAAATCCAATTCACGTTATGGTTCCTATTCATATTATTAGAATTCATATTAGGCCTGTAGAAAAATCCAGATTCAGCTGAAACTTTCAGTTCTGAACAGATTAATATATGAGGCACAATACTGGCCAAACGAAATAATTAGAAATGTTTTATTGTGCAACCTATGCTGGAACATTTCAGGACTGAATTGTGGTTTGGATCTCTCTTTTGCTGCAAGGAAAGAAGTAACATAATACCATGGCCATTAACATTATTTGTATTAAATTTTTGCATATGCTGGAGGAAGTAGTACCATTATTATTCATCTGTTTTGACTATCTGTCTCCTGTTCTTATGAGCTTGCCAACAATCTTTCTCCCATTTAGGGGAAAGTAAGAGAAACTGACAAATTAAGGTTGGGCAAATATTCATTAAAATTTCTGCTAATGGAAAGTTCATTTAATTTACAGAACACCTAAAAAATACTGGATTCTTTGTATCTGGATTTGTGAAATCATTAGTTATTATGAGGAATGAAAGCTTATTTCTAGATATTTAGTTCACTTCTTGAATTTACAGGTCTTGGATTTAGCTATTTTCCGTTTTATTTATTGCATTTATATGCTGGCCTATCACTGTTGAGTGACTTTCCTGAACAGTTGACTTTCCCAAAAGTGTTTTTTTCAAGAGGCAACTTGACTTTCTAGTTTTTCTTTGAAGAAGTTTAGTTTCTCATCCAAGAAGCTTCCTCAGTTCTTGACTGGATGCATTCCTCACCATCCAGTCAGAGCTGAAGAAGCTTCTTGGATGAGAAGAAAAAACCAGAAAAGTCCAGTTGCCTCTTGAAAAAAAGCACTTTTAGGACAGCCATGTCCTGGATGACTGAGAGTCCCCATAAACGGGACAATTGACTTGTTACCAACGTTGATGGATAACTAACATGTTTTATTAATTAGTCAACACAATTGGCAACAGCCCAGCTGTTTAAATCTATTTGTAGATAAATTGTTTTGATTTTGATGTACTGGCTTTGCATAAAATTGCAAGTTTTTACTAGTCCATTCAAACTTTTGCTAGCCTTTTGAAGCAATTTAAAGAAACATAATTGTTATTCACTCTGAGCAATTGGAAGGAGAATCAGTTTTAGGCCCGCTTTTCCAGTCTAATGGGGATATTTTTCTCATTGTCACAAATTTGCATGTGTTTGATTAAATCTCACAGCCTTCTTTGCATAAAAAGAAATTACTACTATTATTATTATAGAAATGGTGTCCCTGTTAATATAAGTAACTGGATTTAGGAGATAGACTCTCTGAAGAGCAATGAGGATAAAATTGATTCTGCAAGATGAAAAGTCATAATAATTAGTGACTCATTGCTATTAGTAATTGACTCATAAAAGAGTGTGTGGTCTGCCAGGAACACAGATTAGGGATATGACAGAACAATTTTCAAGATTTACCAAGTTCATTGACATTTATCCCTTCATGTTAATCCAAACAGGAGAAATGAAGAGCGTGCATTTAGTTTATGTACACATTCATTGGCTGGCTCCCCACATCACACTTTGTCATTGTGGGGGGTTGTTTGTTTGTTTTGGCTTAGCATGTTGCACAAACTCAGCCATTATGGTTTTGTAATGCATAGATTACAGTTTAGTTTGCCATGAAAACTTAGCTAATAATAGTTTTTCAACAGTTAGAAAACCATAGCTTAACAGTGTATGAAGTAGTCACTTCTCAATCTTCTCAGGGGCGTATCTTTCTGTGTCATAGTGGGTCATTAGAAAGTTAGCTTTAGATCAACTCTGTAACTCAGTGATCATGATCAACTCAGCTCAATTATATTTTACATATAAGTTGGTCAGAGATGTTTATTGCACATTTTTAACCTTCCTCTCATTCTGTAATGTAGCAGGACCTGCTGAGCACAATTTATGCTAGCAGCTACATTTCAGCATTGAGTATCAACTGGTGACCACCTTCCCAACATAGGTGTCAAGTTCTAGACAGAGAATTGACATGGCAAAGGCAACAACTGAAACTGAATTAATTCAGTAATATGAGTACTTCCAATTGACTTGACCTAGCTCTGATTAAAGCTTGCCCTCCAGTTATCTAGATCAAACCTTCTTCAAGCTAATGTTAGACTATAATTTTTCAGTATTGATTAAGATTCCTTATCATGAGTTCATATGGTCAGTATCATCTTACACATCTGGAGGGTGTCAAGTGGGGAACTTTGTCCATTGCCCTTTACAAAGACATCCCCCTGAGGCCTGAGAATCTAGGGTTGTTTTTTTTTGTTTTACTGCAAAGTAAAAACCACTGGATCAAAGGGAGGCAGGCAAGGAGTTGTGTTAATTTTGTGAACAGCTGGCCTGACCCATGGCAGGTAAGCTTCAGGATCCTTTCTGATTGAAAACAGTGTTTCTCATTGTTGAAATGCCAATCAGCCTAATTCTTTTTAATAATCCCCAAGGGGTCCTGAATGATGAGCAAGGCACATTGTGTTTTTCTTTCTTTTTTTCCTGCTGTTTCATGGCAGAAGATTGATGACAAAGCTAGCAAATGGGATAATTCTCTGAAGGCTCCATTTTCTTTCTGCTTCATCAGACAGACAGACTAGAGAAAATGATTAGGTGTTTTTTTTTTTTTTTTGGCACTCTGGAACCTGATATAAAACCAGAGCAAACATATTTAGCGATGAGTTCATGCACTGAATGTTTCTTTCTCTGAAACAAGATGTTACTATAATATTCCAGAAAAGCCATGTAGAATTCCGATAGGAGAGAATATATTTAGCTTTGGGTTGAACTGTGGAATCCTTGATGCTCTCTGAGCTTGGTGGTTTTCTTGAGGATGTTTCATTGCACTGATGTTCTCTAGTTGTATATTAATGAAACATCTGCAAACAGACAAGCTCAGGGACCACCATGGACTCCACAAGCTATAGAATGCGTGTAATATATAATTTCAACAAAATGTTTCATATTGGAACTGTTATCCCCAAATTAGACTGTATATATTGTGAAATAATGGAGCGATGTGATTAATGCATTCTGCTTCCCCATATAGACATATAGGTTCTTCTACCTATAGAAATCTTTAGCTCTCCATTACAAACGTTCCATTTTTGCATGTTCATGTGCATGGAAAATTTCCTGGGTAAAAGAACTGCATGTACTGCCTAATGTGCTTAAGTAATAAATTGGATCAGACCACTCTTTTGAATTATAGCAGAATAACAAGATAATGTCAGAATCGTGATAAATGTTACTACTCTTTGCTTAGTAGGTACGATGCGGGGGGGGGGGGGGGGGGGGGGGGGGGGGGGGGGAGAGATAGCTTGCTAAATGTCTCATCTGATTTGCTTCGAATTGTGGTATGATAGTCACTTACGGTATTTCTCTCCCTTATTATCTAAAGGCATCGACCAGGGTCAGATGACGTATGATGGCCAACACTGGCATGCTACAGAGACCTGCTTTTGCTGCGCCCAATGTAAGAAATCTCTGCTTGGCCGACCATTCTTGCCAAAACAAGGGCAGATTTTTTGCTCCAGGGCGTGCAGCATGGGAGATGATCCAAACGGTTCGGATTCATCGGACTCAGCCTTCCAAAGTGCCAGAGCCAAAGAATCCCGCCGTAGTGCTAAGATTGGGAAGAACAGGAACAAAGGAGATGAGAATGCCGGCAGCCAGAGTAATCAATTACAGGTGACCTCCAGCAGACTGTCTGCAGATGTGGACCCTCTGTCCTTGCAGATGGACCTGCTGAGTTTGTCCAGCCAAACTCCAAGCCTAAACAGGGACCATGTGTGGAGGAGCAGAGATGAACTCTACCACTACGGGAACAAAATGGAGCAAAGTCCATCGCAAAGCCCTTTGCAGCTGCTCAGTCAGTGTAATGTCAGGACGCCCTACAACCCAGCCCAGACTCCAGGGCCTCAACAAGAAATGTGGGGTAAACATTTCAACAACCCAAAGAGAAGCTCCTCTCTAGCCATGAAAGGACATGGCAACAGTTTCGTTCAGGAATGCCGAGAAGATTATTACTCAGGAAGGCTTCGGTCGCAGGAGAGTTACAGTGACATGTCCAACCAGAGTTTTAGTGAAACCAGAGGGAGTTACAAGTATGACCAAGAAGAAGATAGTACCATGACAGAACAACATTGTCGGACCAGGCATCCACTCAGTGCACTGAAATTCACTGAAAAATTGTCACGCACAGAACAAACTCCTCGGGGTTCAATGGAGTCGCTGGCTCTTTCCAATGCAACAGGTAAGATCTCTGTGTAACCAACTAATAGAGTATGGTTTCATGTCAGGGAATGCAAAGAAAAAAATGAGGTTCATTTTAGTACTAGCTTTACAGTTAGTGAAAGAGAAGGGAACCTTCCTACTCTTGTGACAGGCAAAATGCCTTGGATAATAATTTCCTTATGTTGCTTAAATATATTTTTATTTCCAAGTGCCTGAGAACAAGAGTTTAATTGAAAGAACAAATCTTCAAACAGGCAACATAGGTTAGTAGCAAGTTAACATGATCTCACACTTGGAATATGCCAGCTGATTTCTCTTATGCTCTGTGAAGGAGAAAATTGGGGTATGGGTAGTAAAAGAAGGAGGAATAGTCAAAGAAAGATTCAGCACAAAGGCAGAGCTTTGTGGAAGAGTTCTGCTTAAAGTCACCTGCCAGTGGGCCAAACTAGGCATGTTGGATCATTGCTATTTGCCAGCAGTTCTTTATCTTCTCCTTAGGATCTTGATGCAGAATAATTGAATGATATTGCTTCACTGCTTTTCTCTCTCTCCCCCTCTCCCTCCCTCTCCCTCTCCCTCCAAACATTATTCAGAGATTCGATAGAGATGCATAACTTTCTATCAAACTCTCTCGAGCATTAACCATATTCTTAGAGACTCTGATAATAGCCACAGCTTTGATGACTTGTACAGTAGCACCCACCATAAAGCAGAATAGAACAGTTATCTCAGATGGCAGATTTTGGATGACCTCAGGCAGCAAATATTTTTTTGGGGTATTTACTATTATTATAATTATTGTCAAGGATAGGAAGGTGTGCATTGTCATTTTGTGCCTCAGACAACAAAGCAATTTGGCCCGTCTTGGGGTATTTTGCAGGTGGGGGGCAGTGTTCGCTTGGTGCTTAACCTTTGTAGCAAAACTTCTTGCCTCGTTTTTGATCAGATGAAGTGAAATGAGGAAGAGAAAAATCCACACCCTGCATGTTAATTCAGAAGGGAAAGAAAAATATTGGATCTTTGAGCAATGCTCAGTGAAAAAGATCAATCCTTGGTATGATGGGCAGGAGATGTGTGGGAATTGGAGCTCTGTATGAATGTCTGCAATTGCACTTTTTTTAATCAAGTTGCATCAAATTTGGGTAGGCATTAAAACAAGTTGTGGTTTCATGCTGCTCCAGGCCTTGGTTTTTCTTTTGTGAATATGGACTTTGCTTGGCAACTTTCATGAGTTTAAAAAAATAGTATGAAATGCCTGTTTCTCCCAAGAAGTTACAACTGAAAAACAAGGATTGAAGAGAAAACATTGGGATAACAGTGGAAATTGAACCCAATTTACACCTAGAATTTCATGGCCAAATATGGGTACTTCTACCAACTGCCAGCTTATGAGGGGACATGTATATATGGTGCCACAGCCATTAAAAAATAGCTCATGTTTTGTTTGATTGTCAACTATATGTCCCTCTTAAGCTTAGTTGCTTAACATCCCTCTTGAAAGAACAGCCGCTGGGAACTGAATTGCAGTTTATCTGATTTCCTCCTGGGCTCTAATCTATACATGTGAGCAGAATTGCTCAGTTTGAAATTAAGGCAATTGAACTAAGGACCTGTCACATTGAACAGATTGGGAAATCATGTAAATGTGATGCATTTTTCTGGCTGTTGATTCTTTATATTTACCACATATGTATTTTATTACAGATAGTCCCAGGCTTAAAACCATTCATTTAATGACTGTTCAAAGTTATAACAGCTCTGAAAAAACTCACTTCTGACATTATATTTACAATCATTGCAGTGTCAATGGACACATGTTCAAAATTCAGATGGTTGGCAACTGGTTCATATTTATGACAATTTAAGTGTCATGTGATTTTATCTTTTCGAACCCTCTGACAAGCAAAGTCAATAGACAAGACAAATTCACTTAACAACTGGTGTGCCTTTAGAACTTTTTTGCTTACCCTTCTTATCCCTTTTTAAAAGAATACAAATAAATGTGTTTCACCTTTGACATGCACAATGACATGCCAGGAGGATAGAGATCACTGCTCAACAGCATACAGAGTATCAACTTGGAGAAGACTAACTTCGCCCCTTAATCCTTAGTCAAAGACTACCTGTAGTGTATTTCGTTTATCTATTTTATCCTGGAATTACATCCGATATTTGATTTTTGTTTTATAGTTTTGATATGATTGTAACACTAATTGATTAATAAACAATTTAAACGATCTACCTAGAATTAGAAGTAAGGATTAAGGGGCGAAGTTAGTCTTCTCCAAGTTGATAGTCTGTATGCTGTTGAGCAGTGACCTCTGTCCACCCGGCATGTCATTGTGCATTTCAAAGGTGAAACACGTTTATTTGTATTCTTTTAAAAAGGGATACGAAGGGTCAGCAAAAAAGTTCTAAATGCATACTTTAAAAAGAACTAATCTCTCCAATAAAATGATTTCAATGCATTACAAAAAAATTATAGATCTTGCCTGAAGAGCTGGGTTTTGCTTTTAACTAATAGAATATATGTATGTATGTATATATGTATCTTTAAATTGCCATTGTCAGTTTGGGAGCTAAGAGATAAACGATATGCCATTTAAGATAGTCTAATTGGAGGAAGGGAAGTAGTCTGGTTCTGTGAAATTAATCTTTTGAAATGGCATTTTAACAGAAGGGAAGTGGGTGATGCAGTGGACCAATGAAAGAGCTGCCTTAGATTTGGCTTATTTGTCATGCCAACATCTGGTGCTTTTTATTCCTTCTCCTGAAGGAGATAGCATTTCTGAGCTTCTTCCCAAGTCAGATGAATCCAATGGCAGCACAACCATGATAATCGGCAAAATAACTGTCCAGAAATTACTGTCATAACTCAGCAGCTGTCATGGTGAATGCAACAATTCTGTAGCTGAGTCTTTACCTGATAACTAACACACACATGCACGCACACATGCACACACACACACACACACACACACACACACACAGGGAGGGAGTAATTACTACTAAAAGAGTAGTAATTGGAGCAGAAAGTAGACAACATCCTTCAGAGACTGCAGGTAATATTATTTTAAGAGGAAAAACCAAACACGGAATATAATTCCAGGTTAAAACAGATAAAAGATAATACAATACAAGGTAGTAAGTCGAGTCAATGGAGCCCAAAATTTCTGTTGCTAAATGAGAAAAGTGTTTTGCCCCATTTTACGATATTTCTTGCCACCGTTGTTAAGTGAATCACTGCAGTTGTTAAGTTAGCAACATGGTTGTTAGGTGACCCTGGCTTCCTCATTGACTTTGCTTGTCAGAAGGTCACAAAAGATAATCACACGATCGCAGGACACTGCAACTGTCATAAATGTGAGTCAGTTGCCAAACATCCGAATTTTGATCATGTGACCATGGAGATCCTGCACCATCTTAAGTGTGAAAAATGATCATGAGTCACTTTTTGCAGTGCCTCTGTAACTTCATTCAGAACATTATTATTAGTGCTATTAGTTACAGAGATGCTTCTATCAGATCATGCACTGAATGACAAAATCACACAGCCTTTCTTGGCTACACATGAACTTTCCCTGCTCTTCTTAATAGGTACCTGAAATGTTAATTGTTGAATTGCAAATACAGAGGCCAGCCATCTTTGTGGTTGTAAGAGCCGCTTTTCCAGCCAGGGCTGTTGTTGCCACTCACATATATAATCTGTCCGTTTTGATATTTTTGTTGCTGCCTGTCCACTACAGACAGAATTGCTTTGCTGAAATCCTGACCACCTGCAACATTTGATGAAATGCTTTTCTTCTCATAGCCGCGTCTTCTGTTACCTCTCTGGTGTGCAATCCAATTATAGTGTGGGGGAGACGAATCAAACTCTTGTCTGTCTTGCTTGCCTGCTTGCAATCTTTTCCTAGCCTTGTGTGAGCTCTTGTGGTGTCAAAGGAGGTTTGAGATCACGTAAAGCTCCTGAGAATAGAATGCTTGCAAATAATGTACCTGATTAAATAACAAGAGGTATATTTCTAAGAAACTTTACATCGGATACAGGAATAGAATTAAATCTGGGGTTTTATTTTCCTTAATTTTGACACTAGGTAATGAGTATATAGAGTTGCAATTTGAATCCCTGTAAAATGGCATTGAATCCTAAGAGTTTTCTGAAAAGATCCTGTAAGAAATTGGGAAGGGTGATCATTTAAAAATCTCACTGGCAGTAGTTTTCTTCCAAGGATTCCATAGTTTTTTTTTTTTTTTAAAAAAATACTAATCATGGACTATGATAAATTAGGATGAACCTCTTGACATTCCCTAGTTTTTCCAGATAAGGATTTCTGAGTAGTTCTACCAGGATCTACTTCATTTAGTAGTTGGAAGATACTACTCGTTCAACCTAAGTATAGAAAAAGAAAAAAGATGACTTGAATGTTCCTGCCCGACTCTGAGAATTTCAGAACTTTTGCAACATTTGGCAATTTTGAAAGAAGAAAAGATGGTTGTATAACTTGTGTGGAGACTTGTAATGTGGGGTCTCAAAGGTGCTTTTTCAAAAGGCAACTGGACTTTGTTTTTCTTTCAAGACGTTTCACTTCTCATCCAAGAAGATTCTTCAGTTCTGATTGAGAGAGAGTTCAATACCCCGCGAAACCCAAGGAAAGTCAACAATCGCACAGAATTCCAAATGAAATTAATCATCCTAGTTAAAAGTTTATTATTATTTTATTGCTCACCTAAATAAGCTTGGGGATTTGGGTATCAGTACGGAGAGCATTAGAAAGCAAACAATGTAAACCATCCAGGGTCATTGAAAGCTGCCCAGAATCTTGCTGGATAGCAAGATGAACAGCATGTAAATTAAAAAACAAACAAACATAAATCCAGGGGATGTGATTGATAGGCATTACTTACTCCTCCATCATAGTCATTTCTTTCTCTTCCACCTCTGTGAGCATGATCTAAAATTTGAACAAACATAGAGGGTAATGAAAGTTAGCTTCTTTGACAGGACCGATGGTTGCTTTG